CACTGGCGAAGAGGGGGAGTATTGTGAATCCAACGAGTATTCCAAACACTAGGGGTTGAGGACTTATGAGGGATCCATGAAATGCCCTTATTACAAATTTTCCACCCTTTCAAGATACTGTTTTATATGAAGGAGGAGTTTATAGCAGTTTTCCTATAACCATGAAGCTGTATAATTAATTTTGCCCAAGGAGAACAAGTGTTAGTAAGCAGTCTCCAAGAGAGATTTGCTAGAGTTACTAAATTTTTACTCTTAACTTTATGAATTCCTAGCCGCCCTCTTTCTTGTGCCTAGTAATAGTATCCCAGTTAAGAGATGGAGTTTTTAGAGGTTGCATTAGTTCCCCAAACAAAGTTTCTTTGAATCTTATCAATTGTACTAAGGATCTTGCTAGGCAACAAAGTGTACTGCATAATATGACTAGGGAGGGAATTAAGGCACGAGGTGGCCAAAACAGTTCTACCTGCCATGTTTAGGCAGTTATATTTCCAAGTTCCTAATATAGCAAGCATATTATCATGAACAAATTGAAAATCTTTTGCTCTAGGCTTCGTATTAGTAATTAGGAAACTTAAGTATTTTCCAAACGAATTATTAATATTTATATTGAAAATATTTGCTATATTGGTTCCAATATGTTTGGGACAGTTTTTAGAAATAATAATTTTTGACTTAGATTTGTTGATTGACTGCCCAGACAAGTTGTAAAACTGCTCTAAGCACTGTTTAATGGATCTTATGGATCTATCATTAATCTTGGACATTAGAGTAAGATCACTTGCGTAGAAAAGGTGGGATAGTTGGTGTTTATTTTTATCAATCGTAATTGAGCTCCAGACACCTAAATCTACCTTATAATTAATTAAAGTGGAAAGCATTTCCATGCAGAGAATGAATATGTATAGGGACATAGGATCACCCTGTCTTATACCCCTACTAGGTGTAAAGTAACATGTTCTAGTACCATTAATTAAGATTGCTATTCTGGCGGATGTTATTCAATTCATAATAAGCTTAATTATGTTAGGGGGGAATTAAAAGAAGGTCAGGGTTCTATAGATAAAAGACCATTCCAGACGGTCAAAAGTTTTTTCTAAATCTATTTTTAAAATCATATTATGATGTCTACCACAATACCTATTCATTTTTAGGATCAGTTCTTGAATAATAATCGCATTGTTACAAGCTTTCCTATTTTTAAGGAAACTAGCTTGATAAGGACTAATAAGTCTATCTAGGAAAGGTTTTAGACGGTTGCTAATGACCTTAGTGATAATTTTGTATATAGTATTACAAAGGCCAATGGGTCTAAAAAAATTTAAATTATTAGCATTAGGGATTTTAGGAATTAAACAAAGAAAGATTTCATTAGTTCCTTCAGGAATAGTTCCGTTATTGAATACAGTGTTCTTTCGTTAATCCATTTTTTCTTTTAAGTAAACCAAAAACTTTTAACTCATAGAGGAAGCTAAGCTTTGTTAAAGAAGTAGTAAAGAAGTCTAAGGCAGTCAACAAAAGAACAAAAAGTGGAAGTTGAGGTATTTAAAACATACGAATGTGCACAAAGCTTCTATTTTCAGCTGTTAATTAATTAATTTAGTTTAGTTTCTTTTTTTTTTTTTTTTTTTTGTAAGCTGTCCTCTTTGAAGAAAGTCATGAACATTATCAAGGTTAGAGAATGGCAAGTTGGCACGTGCATCATGCACATGGCACGTTTGTGGCGATCACACGCATGAGTGCTCGATCCCAAATAGAGTAGGTAAAACATCACTTTGGAATGAAATGCTATATTTCTATCTCCTTCATTCATTAAAATTATGTGGTTTGTGTGATGGAATAGTTTGAAATATTTTGTTCTTAATGGGGAGTTTCAAATTGAATCCTTAAAATGGAGAACTTTTCAATAGAAATGCTTTACTCTTTTTAGTCGACCTTTCTAATGCAAATATGGGTTAGCCGGACCATTAAAATTTGAATAATGAATTGGAAAAAGAGAGTTATGTGCCTTTTATACATTAGAAAGGAAAACAGAAAAAAAAAATTGATTATTTGTTCCTAGTTGGTTAAACAGCCGTTCAACTTGTATAGGTCAAAATTTACCTCTAAAATACTTAAGCCTTGATAGCATTAGCGAAATATTGACGGGCCGCTATGTGTCGAAGTGGTTCAAGCAACAATGAAGGCCGCGGTCGAAGAATCAACAATGATTAAGGTCGAGGAGTCATCGAAGATCGAGGTCGAGGTCGAGATCGAACACCTTTAATAGAGTTATAACGGCTAGTTTCAAGATAGGACATTAAAAAAAATATTCTAGTGAATATTCTCTGCACTTGTACTATTAAGGTTTCTACGAACATGTTCCCTATAAATAGAAAGAAACACAATGATAGGGGACATGAGATATCCATTTGTAAAGAACACATTGACTTTGTATGAACGAATCTGGTCTTATCGCATACATACAAAAATAACTTTTTTACCAAGATTATTGCCTAGCATTCCCACTGGTTCCAAGAACGACTCGAGTGTTCAAAGGCTTATCAGAAAGAATATTCATTGATCTCGTCCCTTTTCGGGTGGCTCACACGTTTATTTACATAAACGTCATTTATTGTTATTTATTGCTATTGAATGCCGCACTCTACCTTTTTGGATCATTGAGTATGTCACTGTTGCTTAGACTCATTGCTATTCGGATAAATATACTAGTTATTTGGTCTCATCACACGTAGCTTTATTTTTTAGATATTATTTTTAATTAAGATTAACTCTTCTTTATACAAATCTAATTGGTTGAGCCAAAATCAATAAATTATGGTCAAACACAACTAACATACATTTATATCAACCTTTTATTTCAATTCAGCCTAAGATGGTAGGTTTTTTTTTTTTTTTTTGGTAGGTCTATTTTAAAACTCCATTTAGTAGTATTTTCCCCTGGTGCTAGACAGAAAACTTTGAAAGTACCTTCTCAAATACGAACTTTCTTTCCTTATTTTCCTACTGCTAGGGAATCAGATATCAGCCTCTAGAAAAGGCAAAACCATTATCCACCATTAGATCCGTTGTGAAGTACTACTACACAGTGCCGTTTGAAATGCCATTAAACATCTCTTTATTTTGGGTAAAAATTATTTATATCCCTCAAGTTTAGTTTACAAATTAAACTCATCATTTAACTTTTAACAATCATCATTCCCCTTCTTCCATCCTATGCAATGTTTATTTTATCCATAATATTTTTAGTTCCCCACATATGTCGTACTTCTTTATATTATATCTATAATATTTTATTTTTAGGTAGGTATTTTGTCTATAATTTAAATAATATTATATCTTGTTATATAATTTTATTTAAGTTTATTAACATTATAAAAAGGAATAATTATATTGTAAATTTATAACACAACTTTTTATGATTATTAATATTTTAATTAATATTATATTTATTAAGTATTTTATATATATATATATATATATATATATATATATATATATATATGTCCATTTGTTTGTCTGTGAAGGGTGAACCGGGGAATTCATCTCGGATAATAATTTTTCTTAAGTTTCCAGTTTATCTTAATTTTTTGAGTTTTGATTGTTATTCATAGAACTTTTTTTCTTAAAATTATGATATAAATTCATGTAAAGTATAGATAGATAAATTTTAAGAATTTTTATAAAATTCACCTCTATTTTCACTCATTATTTTTTATGCACAACATAATTTATAAAGTTCTCACTCTCTTTTATTCTCAATTTTTTAATTAAACGACTTTTAATTGTTATTAATAAAATTACTAATACGAGAAAATTTTATTGTAATTGTTTTTATTTTTTTCCATCATTTATTATTGATATCATTAACTTTTAAGCTTAATTATTACTTCTCACTTTTTTTATAGGTACTTAATATTTATTTGTCTATAGTAAGTCCATAACATAAATTAAAAAAAAATTATTATATTAAATAAATAAATAATATAAAATATGTAAAACTGGCATTTAAAAAAGCCAACTTTGATATAAAGAGGAGAATAATAGTTGTTCAAAATTTTGCAGGATGAGTTTGATTTTTAAAGTAAACTTGGGGATGTAAATGATTTTTACCCCTTCGTTTTCTTATAGAATATTTTTGTTTTGTTTTTCATCATGTGTCTTTGGGACCCGACTAATTCTAATTCGCGCCGAAAAGTTTCACTTTCGAAGAAAACCGCTCTCTATTAAATGCCACTTCATTCCAGTTCTCGACTTTTGACCAAGAATAAAAGAGTACTTACCATCAACCACATCAAAGGGTATTATATTTTGTTAACTATGTAGAGAGCATGAGATTTCTCTTACCCACTAAAGAAAATACTAGTATCTTCTTCTTTATTCTAATTTATTTAATATATTTTCACTTATCGAGAGTCAATTTGATCAATTTTAACTTTATGACAAATGATTGACTAAACTAATTCACTTTTAGATTAAATTTTGGATATCCAGAAATTCAATAACATAAGGTGCAACTTCATTAAATTAAATAAATTGGCAAAAATACGTTTTAAAATGTCAAAAATTCACTTAGTTGAAGTCATAAAAGACGAATTTGTCACATATACTTTGAAATAGAGTTAAGTAGAAAAAAGTATTCTCATACCAAAGCCAGGGGAAAAAAAAAAGTGTAACAACAGGGGGTGCAACAAAGCCAATTTGCCTAGGTTGAATGAAAGTTCAGAATTTTAAAAAGCTAATTTTTTTTAAAAAAGTTTTAACATACCAAAAAATTATACTAATATCGCGTTTCCCTTTTCCTTTTCCCTTGAGGAAATAAGATTCTTGTTTGGATCTTTTTCCAAAAAGATAAGAGGCTATAGATTAATCAAGGGTGTTGTGGTCATCACATCATAAATATACAGAAGATAGCAACACCTTCCAAAGATTCAGATGGGTAAAACAGTCATTTTAACAATAGCTTAAGTACATATGGAGTACAGTATTATTATGGAAGAAGTTTCAACTCTTTATCTGTTTCTCTCTCTATATTAACTCTTTGTTTCTTTCTCTATCTACTACCCCCATCCCCACAACCCCACTACCCACTCCCCCCAAAAGCTAAGGGAGGAGGCCCCTTATAGCATCAGCACCACCCTCTCAACAAAACAAAGAAATAAACATAATGAGGAATATGAAGAGTAGAAAGAAATAAAATAAAAAAGGTGGTAGAGGTAGATAGATGCATGAGTGAGTAACAACAACAACAACTACTACAATTACAAACACAATCTCCCCCTCTTTCTCTCTCTCTCTTTTTCTACCACCCACAGCCTCTCTTCTCCCTTCACCACCACCTTCCCCACCTTCCTTTTTTTGTAGTATTCACCTTCTAGTCTTACCAAATTCTTGATTTTCCTCCTCGGTTCCCACGCTTAGCTTCACCAACCACTTTTCTCTCTTGTTGTAGTTTTTAAGGTACTATGTTGTTGCCTCTCAATACTTGTAACTGTTTCTTTTTGGTATTTGTTGACTAATTATAGTTTAACATGTGGGAAGTGGGAAAATTTGTTGTACTGATGAGATTTGGTGACTGCCTCGGTCATTGTGTTTTGGATGATGTAGATGACAAATGGTACTCTTTTACATGTGGGTGGTAGTACTTGAGTTTTTTTTCATAGTCTCTTGTTCTAATTGCTTTGATGTTTGTAGTGTTGGAAAGTTGGTTCTTGGGTTCTTTGTTCTTCTGTTTTCTCCACAAAAAGGTGGTAGGTTGGTGAGAGTTGACTTGGTCTACAAGCACAGACATAACCTTATCTTCCAAAAGGGATTGTGTATTGCTGTAGATTCTCATTCAAATCTATTTGGAAATATTATCTTCAATGCCTGCTAGATAAATCAGTAATCACCTTTTTTTCTTTTGTTCTGGGCTTGTGAAAGCTGCGAACTTGGGGGGTTCATAGTTTTCCTTTTTGTCTGTTGTCACCTTTGTCTTGTCGCTTGAATCATTTAAAATTCTTTATACCTTTCATAAAATGTGAAATTTCTCCAGGGTGACAATATTGTTCACTTGATTTCTGTACCCAATTAGTATTAAGCTTAGCCATAGGTATTGTCAGCTTTAGCAATATCTTCTCAGCCAGAGGCTGCTGACTTTGTTCTGGAAATAATCATACGGGTTATGTTAATAATGTATCAAGAATTGTGGTTCAGATTTCATTTACACCGTGTTTTCTATTTGTGATATCAACAAATCCATCTTGTTTAAGTTGTTTCTTCTACTTTGGCTTAAAAGACCTTCCACCCCCCCCCCCCCCCACCCCCCCCAAATCCTCTTCTAAATTCCTTTTGTTGGAATTCTGCTTTCTCCTTGCAGTATACATCTGATTATACAGTCTTCTTCTCTTAAATTGTGTCACTCTGCTGTAGGCATAAATTTGGCGAGCTATGGTGAGCATCCGAAGGCGTAAGCTGTTAGGACTTTGCTCTGGTATGGAAAGTTAGTGCATCATTTAAGTTGGATAGGCCTGTAGTTTCTATAGTTTCTAAATATAGATGTCAATTTTTCTATCTAATCTCAACTAGAATGCCCTCACTCTCGGATGAATTTACTTAAGAAGTTTTGCAATACCTTTGGATCATTTTTGTTTTTTGATATCCAAATGATTATGAAGGACGAAGCTCGTTCTTGGTTCCACTTCCAAAGTTTTCTGAGAATGGACACATTGCCGAAAATCGTTTCCTGAACAACAAACACACAAGTGTCCATCCAATGCCGTCAACTGATATTGATGAGTCAAAAGAGGTAAGAATAGTTTATTGATGCTAGTATGTTGCATAGCATGAATGTCTAAATTTACCGGATTTGGTTTCTAGAATAAAGGCTCGTCATAATCTTTGAAGACTAACTGGTTTAGACACTAACGGCTAAATGAGATAGAAGCAATGTGGCATCACCTTTAACAGTTTTAGACAGCCTTTATTTCTAACTCCCGCCCTGCTCTTTCTAATGTGAAATGAGGTTGAGTTTTCCTATGGGTCTTTCCATTGTAGTCAATTATGTCTTGAATCATGAAGTATTTTTCAGCCGAATGGTTTATATAGATGATGCAATTGAAGTAGCAGTCAATGATGCCACTTCTCTAAGCTATGATCCAAACGGGTTCTGCTCCGATCCATTTCCTTCTATTTTGTGAAAGATTGACTGGTTTCAATAGCAGTAACTTAATCTGCTAGAATTCAACCTATTTCAGACACGTTATTTTTTACTATATCTAAGTAGTTTATTCCATACCCTCATGCTTAGTCAAACTAGTTTGCGTAATCTGTGAATTTGGTACTTTGTAAAAAGTTTCCCCAAAATGATCAGATTAGTGGAATTGGCTCTCCCAGAGTAGGAAGTTATTTGGTTTCTTGGAAAGGAAAGTTTATGTGAAAATTTTACTGCGTTTGGCAATCAGTAGATGTTTGCATGATTCAGTTTGTGCATAATTTTTGGCAGGATTGGTTCAGTATAACTGTAAAAAAGTATGACAAGTGTTATTATGCTGATATATCCTGTGAAGTATTTTGTGTGTTTCAGCTTGTTCCTCATCCTTCCATGCAGAAAAAGAAACGGGTCCTCAAGATTAATACTGACAATGGATACAAATTCACATTCGCTAGCTTTTCTGTGTAAATTGATACTGTTAATGGCACAAAAGGAAAATTTACAAATCTGTCCACTGGAGGAGGACTTTCAATAATATCATCAAGCAATGAGATTTAAGTGGATACTCGACGATGTTTGTTGCTCCTTTCAACACTTTCTATGGACTTACGTGCATTGTCTACTAGAACTGATAACATTCTGACTATCATAAAATATTAGTTAATTGGAATGATGAGAAAAAAGCAGATGAAAGGGAAAGAAAGTTAGACAAAAAACTATCGAAGTGTTCATCCCCTTATTTCTATGCCTATGTAGCAGTCCGCTTTTAATGATTATTGAGAGTGAGATACACAAGTTTCTTTCGTCAGCTTGGTAGTTTGGTTATCTGGTAGCTGTAAATGAAGTCAAATCTTTAAATTACTGGGGTTCTGTCCAGCTTTAATTGAATTAAATGCTTTCTTTCCAGTTGATAGGGTGTTAATTCACAAAGGATCGTGTGGAATCTTCTACCTGACCCATTGAATTAAAAGTTTTTTTTTCTTATAAACACTAAAGTGTTTTTGCCGGCATTCTTTATATCCTAATTATTGTTTCAATGCTCTCTAGAGAACTGCTGTAAAGGTTGTTCCTGGATCATCAAATGGTCATGCCTCTGGCTCCTTGATTGAGCAAACCGCCCAACAATTTCCAGGTTCATTCTTATATACTAATGAGGATGTTGATTCACCTAGTTGCCTGTTATTCTATCTCATTATGAAATTGTATGCTGTACTGATCTTTATAATACAACAAAGTTAAATATATCCATTCTGGTGTCTTCTACATGACCGCAGATAATTATTCAGTCCAGCATTTGGTTTAGCTGACTTTAAAAATATTGTTGCTTCTGAAACAAAGTTCTTAGCTCATCTCAACTGATGGACAGTATGGTGCTTTACAAAGTCCTTTGAGAGCCGGTAGTTCATTAAGAACAGGTCTAAAGGAGAAAGCTAGGTAGATTAAGAATAAAAGGGGTAGACAGATTGTTAAAATATTGATGAGGACAGACAGTAGCATCCTATAAAAGTACTTGAAGAATTTCTAAAGTATATTTGAATGTAACGTGATAAGTCTTTTGAGAGCCGGCAGTTCATTAATAACAGGTCTAAAGAAGAAAGATAGGGCAGATAAGAATAAAAAAAGGCAGAAACTTTTTTTTTTTGGGGGGGGGGGGGGGGGGGGACGGGACACAGAGATTGTATTAATGAGGACAGACAGTAGCATCCGATAAAAGTGCTTGAAGAATTTTCTGAAGTATATTTGAATGAAACATGATAAGTAATTTAACATTGCCATGAAGCAAGTGTCCGCTGCAGACAAAAGCTCAACAACATGAAGCACATACATGGACGATATCCTTTTTCTACTTATGTGTGATTCCACTGCTTCTATACTTGTAAAATATAAAACAAGGAACCACCTTGAATAATTACTTAGCTTATCAAGCTTGTTCAAAAGCCATATGTTGCTATTATATCTAGTTCATATTTTGATATAGCAATTTTTGCCAATATTATTTCATGTTTGTGGGATATGTCACTGGAAACATAGCTGCTTGCTATCATCAGCATATCTTCGAAAAGTTCCATCAAATGATGAGTTGCTCCATTTTGCTCTTTACATGAATGAACTTGTGAATTAGCTGGATGGTATTTGGATACTCCTACTTTAAACTAACAGTTCTTGACTTGTCCGGAAGATCCTCTAGTTCCACAAATCCTAGTGCAAGAATATTTTAGTCGAGCATTTTGTGGGGAATCTCTTGTATTTGTAGAAGTGCCACTTGTATTCTTTTTAAACAACATTTGTGCATTTGTTATTCCAGAAGTTAAACGCAGAAAGCGACACAGGAGGAAGCACTTTGAAAACCAAGAACCATGTCTCATGAGAGGTGTCTATTTTAAGAATATGAAATGGCAAGCCGCGATAAAAGTTGATAAGAAACAAATCCACTTGGGTACAGTTGGGACTCAAGAAGAAGCTGCTAGACTGTATGACAGGTATCGTACTGCTCCAAATTTATTTCTCTTGACCTTTGTTAAATTGCTCCTCCTACTATGTGATGTTAAAAATTTCCAAATGTGTGATAACCTCATACCTTACAGGATCCTTGCTTAGTTCTATTGCAATTTGATTCTTGGATGGAAACTTAAAATGGACGGAATTTTTCTTTTTCCTTTTAAATTTGTAGGGCTGCTTTTATGTGTGGGAGGGAACCGAATTTTGAAATCTCAGAGGAGGAGAAGCAGGAACTAAGACAATTCAAATGGGATGAATTTTTAGCATTTACACGCTCCGCAATTACTAATAAGAGTAAAGTTCCAATACTTTCCTAGTCTTTGTAGCAGTTCTTAGTGGGCTATAGTACTAATCAGACAAAATATTTTTGCAGAAACTCGTAGAAGAAGTGGGGTTGGTGCACGGAGGAAATCTGAACCTTTAAGTTCAACACTGAATAGTGAGGAGGAGGAGGAGGAGGAGGAGGAAGAGGACGAGGAAGGGGAGCCAGAAAGCAATAGTTTTTCAGCCTCTGAAGATATAGAACAAGACTTATCGCTCTATTGATCCTGTCCCCCCTTCCTTTCTCTGATTAGGAAGAATGCTGAAAGAAATAGTGCTAATGGTATTGTTAAGCTGTTCAGCCACGATTCTATCATTCGTATAGATTTATTTACACACTAAGTATAGGTGCCCCTATTAGGGCAAGATGATGATATGTACTCTTCCTATTGTTTAAGTTAATTGAGTTTGATCACAAGTATGTTAATTATGCATATCTTGAGATGTATTGTCATGCTTGATGAAGTGAACTTTGATGTATGGAAGCAACATTGATTAGCATTCCTAACTTACTTATAAATGGAATACGAAAGGGAAACAAAGAAATTTTGGTCATATAAGTATATGACCAGGGGATCGATTAAGTAGGTAGATAGTCAGCATAAAACATTCAAACAGTAACGAGGTTTTGGTGATCGATATATAAGCATGACATCATTAAGATCTCCATAAAATGATCATACAAATGCTTCTTTTTATTAAAAAAAAAAAAAATGTTTGCGAAGGAGGATAGAATTAAAAGATGTGTGGAGGGAAGGCAGTTGCAATTTCCATCCAAGATGTGTGGAGGGAAGGCAGTTGCAATTTCCTTGGATGGCAATGTTAACATCATATGGGCCAGTTTCTGTTGGAATAGAATTTAGACAAAGCAAATAATTTGCCAAATTTCCACGTTATACGGCAAATGACTTTGCCAAATTCTTGGATTGACCGCCCTCATCAGCTGCTATATCATTGAGCAATCACTACTTTTCACTTGTAACTTTAATTGTGAAACTCTTTCTGATTGGACATTTATTTTCAGCCACTCAAGTCCTTGTGTCCAAAAAAGATAGCGATGTGTGATATATTTGGTGAGATTTGAATGTTGCACCTAAGTGTTATAATGTGAAAGTGTAATCACTTGGCGCAATTACAATTAATCTTTCCTAGAGTCTAACTTAGGCTGTTAACATATGCAAGTATTTCATATTGTTATAAATGGTTTCATCTTAAAGATCATATCGTTTGGCTGTTTTATTTGCACATATATTCATGAAAACTAAATAGGTAGATTGCTTTAGACAAAGGTTGATGTAAAGAGAAGAAATAATTATCCAAGATTCTAAAATAAAAAAAATATAAAAATAATCTTTTTGTCCCTTTTTCCCAACATAGTTAGTAGGAGCACAAAGAAAGTCTGAATTACATAGTAAGACTGTTTAATTCGCACTTGTGGTGAGAGTCCTCTATTGCTTGTTTCAGGAAATTAATTGAACTTTATATCTTACAATACTTGGTCTTCCATGGGAACTGGATAGAGTTATAAAAAGAGATTGCTCAAATTTCGTTTTCATCCGATACCGCAAATCATAAAATGAGTTGGTCCCTTAAAATCTGATAGTGACATTGCTGGATTGTCCTCGTGAAAAGGGGAGAATTTCAAAAATAGCCAGATTTATAAGTGGTCACTCTAAAATAGCCACAATTTCAAAAGTAATCGAAATTTAGCCACTTTTCATGTAAAGATAAATCTGAACAAAAACAATGTTCAAAATTCGGAAAATACTCCAGCATAATATGCTGGAATTCCAGTATAATATACTAGACTTCCAGCATAATATACTGGAATTCCAGTATAATATATCATTCCAGCATAATATGCTGGAAGTTCATACACATGTGCACTGATCTCCAGTATATTATGTTGGAACATTCTGCGTGTTGGAGTTCCAGCATAATATGCTGGAAGTTCATACACAGGTGCACCGATCTCCAGTATATTATGCTGGAACTTTCCGTGTTGCAGCAAAATAGTGGCTATTTTTCAATGACTTTGCAAATACTGGCTATTTTTGAATGACCAATCCAAAAATTGGCTAGCCCCTACTATTTTTACCTTGAAAAGTGGGAAATGTTTTATTTTCTAATCACCTTCCAAAACTGAGAAAATATATCATTCCTAGCTCTCAAGGTGGATGGTCTTGAAGTTTTGTCTCTACTTGTCCTGTGGGCAGAATTTCATGTTTAACGAGTATTGTTCCTCGCTTGCCTCATGGGAAACACTTCTAACTTTTGAGGCGAACGTGAGTCAAAAGTTAAAGACCACCCCAAAAAGTATCATATTTCTGCAATTTTTTGGCACATAAATGGGTAGCCAATTCCGAAAGGAATTTTTACATTCCTATACACTATCTGAAACTATATTACCCTCCCTACTCAAGTTTTACTATAATTACATTTTATATACCCAATTACCATTTATATACATTTTAAGGGAATTAATGATAATAATTAGTGTCCTAAAATTACTCTAACATATCTTCCACTCCCCTACGTTTCTCTCTCCACATTCCACCCCCTCCCACTATCTTGCACAAGAGAGCAGCAAGTCCACCATTGACAACCATTAAAAAGCTTTGAAGCTTTGAATTTGAATTTGAATTTTGGGTTTTCAAAAAACATTGTTTGTTTGGATTGGATGTTGTTGCAAAGAATTGAGAATTCTCTCTACGTCTCTCTCTATCTCTCAATCCCAAATTTCAGTAATGTAAAGCAAAGGAAAAGAGAGCAGCAATTCCACCATTGACAGCCATTAAAAAGCTTTGAAGCTTTGAATTCGAATTTGGGTTTTCAAAAATTATTATATTTTTGGATTGGGTGTTGTTGCAAATAATTGAGAATATGGTTTGGAGTTTAAATCTCAATTTTGAGGGGTTTTGGTGAACATTAGACTTGGTTTTGGCTGAATTTCAGATTGAAACTCGAAGAAGAAGAAGAAGAAGAAGAAGAAGAAGAAGAAGAAGACATGACATACACTATACTGCAGAAATTGTAGTAGAATTGTAAAAAAATTGTATTCTGTTGTTTATCTATTTTTTATTTTATTTATTTAACTATTGTATGAAAGTTGAACAACATTTTATAAAAATTATATTTAAGTTGTATGATATTGTAGTTGTATATAACTGAGTAGAAATAATGGATGAAAATTGTAGATAAGTTGTATAATATATAATTAGTTGTATGAAATGTATTTTTACTATGTATAAATCAGATTCAAAATATACAAAAGACATATTGTATAAAAATTTATTTAAGTGGTATGATATTGGAGTTGTATATAACAGGGTAGAAATAATGTATGAAAATTGTAGATAAGTTGTAGATAAGTTGTATAATATTTAATTAGCTGTATGAAATTTATTTTTAGAACTTTCATACATTATTTATCTATATAAATAATGTGCTTTTGTGGGCCCCGCTTGATTCTAAGATCCTTCAAATTTTTCCATATACTATTGCAAAAAAGGTACATTAATACCATCATTTTCTATTCCTCTACTCTTTTCTCTTCATAGTCCCTCGTGCTTTCACAAATCCGTTTGGTTGACTTACCCCGTAAAAGAAAAAGTTAGGACCTTTGAAATATTTCAGTTCAGATCTCAATAAACCAGGCCCTAAGGGAATCCTAAAAAAATGAATCTTAAACAAGAAACTCACACAATATCAATTAGCAGTAATCACTGGTTAGACGCCAAAGCGTGACAGAAGGGAAGAAAAATAAGGAAAGAGAAGAGGAGAAAAAAAAAGCGTGTAACTAAATTCCTTGATTGAAGGCATTAATAATGGATTTGGCCTTTTTAAGGTGCAATGTATATATTTTGTAAAGAAAACCTGTTTAGGTCGGGTAATTATCTAAACATGGATATTTTTTATAATAAAGTTTCAAATAGTGTATCGGTATGTAAAAATCCCAAATTCCATTCATTCTTGTTACTCTGTTATGGATGGCCTAGGCCCTACGATGATAGTAGTGCTAGATAAGGGGTGTTATTATTTTTAGCCCGCGCCAAAAACTATTTTTATCTGGTAGTAAAAAAAGTATGAAATTTATATAATTTTTTTATATAACATTCATAATGTATATATATACAAAAAATATATAAATTTTTTTATATTTGGCTATTATTTTTATAGTGGCTATACAGTGTCATTTTTTCGTTAGATAATGGTCCAAGACATATTATGATAGATACCTAATTTACTTATTAGATCCACTTTAGATGTAGGGGTGTCATGGTTCGGTTTGGTCAATTTTTTAAAAACCTTTTCAGGATGAGACTACGAACCCTAATGGAGCTAAAAGTCTATATAAGATATAGAAGGCAAAATATGAGAAAATAAAATAAATACCAAAAAGAAATTAAACCAAGTAACGCAGTTTTTTAAATATTGAAACCAAACCAAACCAATTTAGTCGATTTTTTATCGATTCAGTTTTTGTCAATTTTTTGGGTTTTTCGGTTATGTATCAGTTTTTTCTTAATTATAAGACATACATTATCGAATACAAAATTCTGGCGACTATATTTTCAACGTAACACTATCAAACCAATTGCTCTTTAAGAAATCTATCATTCACCAAGATATATTGCTGATGGTTGAATTTTGAATAGTGATGAAAAATTTAAAGACTCAGTTAAAAATATTATTGGCAGAAAAAAATTACCAATCAAATAATAATGTAAAGGCAAAGAATTAGATTATTATAATAGCAAATAACTAGCCTAAAAGTGCAAACGATTAACATGTACCATACAATTTTAGAAACTTTGAATGCAAATATACATAAAAAAAAAGGGGCAGCCCGGTGCAGTAAGCTCCCGCTATGTGCGGGCAAAGAATCAAATAGACCACACAATGTGGTCTTTTTGGGTATAATAATATACATATATACATGTATAATAATAAATTCTAAATAGTTACTTCTATAGTTGTGACGACCCGGCCGGTCGTCTCATGAGTTACCGCTCCGTTTCCCCCATTTCTGCTTCTTTTTGCTTTGTTCATCTGTGTTTTGAGGTATCGGGTTGATTGGATTGAATCCGGATTGGTTTTGGTGAAGTTTGAGACACTTAGTCTCTTTTAAGAAGGCTTAAATTGAAAAAGTCAACCGGATGTTGACTTATGTGTTAGAGGGCTTGGATGTGAGTTCCGATGGTTCGGTTAGCTTCGGGAGGTGATTTATGACTTAGGAGTGTGATCGGAATGGGTTTTGCAGGCTTGGAGTAGAATTAGGCTTGAATTGGCGAAGTTGATATTTTGGCGATTTCCGGTTGATAGGCGAGATTTTAATATAGGGGTCGGAATGGAATTCCGAGATTTGCAGTAGCTTCATTATGTGATTTGGGATGTGNGTTTATATATTTTTCTTTTATTCATTTAACTATTGTATGAATGTTGAACAACATTGTATAAAAATTATATTTAAGTTGTATGATATTGTAGTTGTATATAAAAAATAATGTATGAAAATTGTAGATAAGTTATATAATATGTAATTAGTTGTATGAAATTTATTTTTACTATGTATAAATCAGATACAAAATATACAAAAGACATATTGTATAAAATTTATATTTAAGTTGTATGTTATTGTAGTTGTATTTAACTGGGTAGAAATAATATGTGAAAGTTGTAGATAAATTGTATAATATATAATTAGTTGTATGAAATTTATTTTTACTATGTATAAATCAGATACAAAATATACAAAAGACATGTTGTAAAATTTGTATTTAAGTTGTATGACATTGTAGTTGCATATAACTGTGTAGAAATAATATAGATAAGTTGTATATAATTAGGTAGAAATAATATTTTAACAGTGCACTTGATGCAGTTACTTTTCTAGATGCCCCCTATATTTTCCATTATTCGGTCATTTTTATATGTAAAGCCTTGGATTCGTTGTGCTTGTGTTAATTTTAATCTGACTGAGCGCGTCTGACTTTGCATAAATTAGCGAGGAATAAACTTACACCGAAGCTGTTCACTTTTGCTAACATAAGAAATGTCTTTTCCTCTAAATTAGCAAAGAATCAATTGGGGCGTGATAGTTAGTTCATGAGATGCATTTCGGTACGTATTGAGTAGAAAGCATTTTTCTGCCTTATATTGTTAAGTATTTTGGCAATAATAATAGTAAATTCACAACATATGCAATTTTGGCAAAATGATTGCTTGCTTTCGGTATGCATCAACTGAGGTGCAATCCATTAAACTTTTTTTTTTTTTCATATCAAGTCAACGCCAAGGCTTTCAATGATCGACTCTTTCTTTCTCCTTGTGGGCTGTGAGCTGTGGCTGTCTCCTTCCATCTCAGTCATCAATGGTGTAAAGCACGAAACTCCAAGTAAGATTAAGATAGAAAGATAACAGAACTGTTTCTCTTTCTATTAATTTATGAAAAGAAATATGTGCCAAAAGTGGAATCAGCCCTGAGTATCACAATTGAACACAACTAGAAGTGATTAGGTGCGGAAAAACATGGCTTTTGATACTTTTACGGTGTTCTGCAAACTGGGATAATTTTTGGTCAGGAAAAGTTGATCCCTTTACATAAATTTGTAAGTATTTGGACGGACGAGGGTAGAATGAGAGAATCTGGAGAGAAGGGGGAGATCGGAGAGAAGAAAAGGAGAAGGGTGTAACTAAATCCCTTGATTGAAGACGCAAATAATGGTTTGGAGACGTTTTAAGGTGTATTGTATATATTTTGTAAACAAAACTTATTTATGCCGGGTAATTAACTAAATATGAATATTTATGGTAATAGTTTCTAATAGTGTATATGAATAAAAAAAGGCCATTCCGAAAAGAATGAACAAGACGCAAGCCCAATAAATCTACAAGGCCGGGCTTATAGGACCTCAATTGGGTCCAGTTCTTTTAGTCCAAAGCAAAACTTGGCCAAACAGTCCACATCTCCCATCGAATTCAACCAGAATTTTCAAAAGAAGCCATTGAATCACATGGCTTCTTCGGCTACGAATGACAAGCCACTTGATGAAATTTCTTCTTCATCACTAAATTGGAAAGAAAGGATTCTTATTCCGACTCTACTAGCAGGTAAGTTTAGCAACTCCCCGATTTCGATCATATACCTTGTAGGAGTATTAAATTTTTTAGCATGGATAAGTTTGTTGATCAAAATTTTAAGTTTTCTTAAAGCCCTTTTTTTTGTATTATTAGGGGTGGCAGGTGGAGGAGCTGGTCTGGTATCAAAGCATCGGAAAGTTCATGGCGTAGCTAACATTTCTGCAACATATGCTACTAATTTTGCTATTGTTACTGCCTCTTATTGCGGTAAATTGAATTTTCCAAGCTATGTCATTTTCTTATGAGATGATTAATTATTCCACTTTGCTCTAGTATTTGCTAGTTAAATCTTCTGACAGTCTAAAGGCGGATCATCCAGCATATAAGCAGTAGGTGCACGTGTCCCACTGTTGCGGACTCGAGCTATATGTAGTGACATAGAAAATCTAAAGAATAATATTAAGAAGTGCATCCACTGCTCACACCCTTTTCATAATGGTTTGGTGTGGTGGAATGGATGTGATTTTTCCATTCTTTTTCAGAGGTCTCGGGTTCGAGCCCTAGGAATGGAGAAATTCCTGGTAGAAAGCGCTTCTCCTTGAATGGGCCTTATGTGGTGCAAGTTCGGATTAGGCAGGCCAATAGGTACTAGATACCGATGGTATTCCCCCCCAAAAGAAAAACATAATTGAAAGATTGACAATGCCACTACTGTTGCACTAAAAATTTCTGCTTCATATGTCTACATTCTTTGCATTGTTGATTCTGGAATCAGTGCTTGTTGGGAAATGGCGGTAATGGGTTTATCTGAAAAAGTAGTGGCCTTTTATCTAGCCGGATATGTGGTGGTTTTAATTAACTCTTGCTCTTATATCAATTTGGTTGTGAGGTGTTGCAATCATCCTTCAATCCATGGGATATCTTCCAAATGCTTCTGTTCAATTGCTTTTCATTTGACAGCTTATCCTGCATCAAATTACTTCACATCATTTGTGCTTTCTAGATTGCTTCCTATTTTGTTGCAAGGACACTCAACCTAGTAACTTTTTAAAATGCTCAGCTTTAAACTACAGTACTCATTGCATTTAAAAAGAAAAGAATCCCATGGGTCAATTGTGATCAACAAAGTGAAGGTAGCCAAGACACTAGATCTTCTGCTGCTCTGTCCATATAATACTCTTAACATATGCTTCTTTATTTGAACTTGAAACATTCTTTTTATATTCACTGCATTTAAGTAGAAAGGTGCCTTATGGTCGATGATGTTGAAAAGAGTGAATACTGAGCTTAACATATATGCTCGTTTCTTTCCAAGGTAGGTGCTCGTGAGTTTGTAAGAGTTAGTAGAACTGGAAGGCCTGATGATTTGCTAAATTCAGCAATAGGAGGTTTTGGCAGTGGCGCTATTCTTGGACGCCTTCAAGGTCAGATTTGCAACTCTCTCTGCCTCTCTTCCGTGTGCCTCTATCTTAGTAGTTCCTGTGCAAAAGGAGGCTACTGTGAACATTAACTCAAGATCTGGTCCATTCTTTTCAATGCTTTTAATCTCATAAGATCATGTTTTTACCTATGAAAAAGGGAAAAAAATGTTCAGTTGTTAATTTGTCATTGTAATTGTAGTCTAATTGAAGTAGCCGGTGGTCTGATTTTCCATCGACATGGTTTTTGCTTGTTGAAGCCAACAAGAGCAGCTAAACTTGCATAAGTTGTAGTTACTTGATTTCCTACATTGTCCATTCGAGCGGAAGTTCCAAATCCAGGAGACCGTTTAACGAGAAGTGGTTCTTTGAAAAACAAGAGGTTTATGTCTTTTTTAAAGATGACCTCATTAGAGGTTATGGATACTTGATCAATGGCTTTCATTTTCAACTACTTCATGACCACGCATCACTTTAAGTATGCTAAAGATGTTTTACTAGGTCCATTTAGGTAGCGGTCTGCTTACTCCCTATTTTACTCAACTCTGTTCGGGACTAGTCCCAATAACTGAGGGACGCATTTCTTTTGCCCTAGTTTGTCTTTAAAACAGTTTCTCTATGCATCCTTGTGAAGAAACAGTTGTTCTGTGCAATCAGTGTCAACATCTTTGTAATATCACTTCAAATATTTGTGCTCCGTGTGTATTCTTACCTAGGCTAGGTTCCTGCTGTAACTTAAGTACTAAGTTATTATGTAATGATGAAGGCGCTTGTGCAAACAACCACATTGCTGGTGAAGTTGTTACTACCTAGTAAAAAGCTTCATTCATTTCGAGATTTGACATGTGCTTGTGCAAAGAGACCATTGATATTAGAAGATTGGGCCCTAAAATCTTGAAAAGGCTAGCATGGGTCATCTTTAGTATTTTTTGTTTCTCAATCATTGATCTTGAAGTGACAAAACCCAATGCTGATCTGAAGATTTGTGTTTCCCTTTGACTCTCCAATTTTGTTACAGATCGCCGCCCTTTCAATGTGAAAGTGAAAGTTCTGCTACCAATATCTGATTTCATTTTTCATCACTTCCTTTTTTCCATGGTCATGCCGCAATTTAAAATCCTCTGTGTTTCGAAGCAATTTGAAGTCTGAAAATGGAATGACAGCCTTTCATCTATGGGTTCTGATTTCTTAATCTATGATATCCTATGCCTTTGTCTCAAAGCCATGTTATCCATCATGGTTGATGTTTATGAACCGATAATTTGCTTACCTGTTCTTTTTGATGAAATTGTCAGGTGGTCAATTTGGTGCTGTTCGTTATTCAGTCATTTTTGCAGTTGCTGGAACGACAGTTGATTATGCTACCATCAAAATAGAACCAGCCTTGAGAAGCTTCTATGACTCTATTGTCAATAGGAAAGATGATTGGTTAAAATTGCCTGAGTGGTCGCCAATCAAAGTGCTTGATGAGGAAGCTCTTGCAGCAAAACGTGCTCGGGAAGAGCAACTATACAGAAGTGTCCACAATCTGAACAAGGAGGAGTCCGGATATTTAAGTACCTTTTTGCAAGAGGCGCCACCAAAAGTTGAGAAGGAAAAGGCCTGCTTCCACTTCCATGCCCTTCAGGTTTAAGACGAGCAGAAAATTCAAGCATTTGCCGGGTATTCAACATTTCATGTGCCTCCTGAATCTCACTGTGGTAAAGGGGTGAAACTTCGAATTCGCGTGTCCTGCATATTTACTAATGCTATGGATATGGCGATAATTCTTCTTTTATACCATAATTTCTTGAGTAAATACCTTAAAACTCGCCTAAACTATCACCCTTTTGCTAGTTTCCTACATGTCCGCCCGAACTATACCCTCCTTCATATTAAACCCCCCCCCCCCCCCCCCCCCCCGGTCGCATCTTTAATGGTGTGTGTGATACACTCTCATAAATTTGTAAGAAATGTGCCATGTGGCACTCCACATGGATATTAATTAGCCTAATAAAAAACAACATATAATTACGTATTTTAAATATTAATTCCAATTTATTAAATGGGTAAATATTATTCACCCGATTAAAATATATAAGAGGTCTAAGGCAAAAAACATTCAGTAAAATCCCCTTCTCTCCCCTATCTTCCGATAAAGGCTTCTCTTTCTTTCACTAGCGATTTTCTCAATTAAGCTTCATTGTGACCTTCAGTTTTTCCCAATAACCCACAATTTGGGTTATTGGGTTATTTCTACTAAGACAATGATTGTCTTCTTCTGCAAAATATTCAATTTGGGTTGTTTAGCATAAAATCGGGCCACTGTTGTTTGCCATTCGATCTTTCTTATCGTTGTTATTCGTTTCAAGTCTTCCACATTCTACCAAAACAAATTACTGTCACCAACTTGTCTTCATCCACTCCTTTCCACCTAGGGACAGAAGAAAGAGCTGCACGAAGGACATAGGCAAGTGTACTTTTTAAATATATAATAGGATTTTTATGTGGGTTATCTCTCTTGCATTATGAAAACTCCATTGCTCTCATATATTTTGTTCTCCTACAAATATTTTTTCAGAAGCTTGAAGAGAAGTCCAATAACAAGAGAGTGAGAATTTCTGATGGAACCATTTCTAGTAAGGTGAAAAAATGGAGAAGAAAGGTGAAGGGATGAAGAAGAAAGGAGGAAAATGAGGAAGGAAGGTGAAATATAAAGAAAATGAGAAAAAAGTATATTAAAAAATAAAAAATATTTTAAAAAAATAAGGGCTAATTAGCAGTTAGAGACTATCATGTGGGCCATTCTGATGGATTTTTCTAGCCTTGACGCGCTCTTTCACGAGTTATTACACAATATGCCACATAAGCAGAGGGGTTTTAATACGAAGGAGGATATAGTTCAGGGGTTTTGGGGACAAGCGATAGTTTAGGTAGGAAACTGAAAAAATATGATAATTTAAGCGGGTTTTAGGATATTTACTCTAATTTCTTGGCAAAAAGGCCAAAATTGTCCCTATACTATCGAAAATTAGTCACGTTTATACCCGTTTCTACTTTCGGTCCAAATATATGCCTGCCATTAAGAAAGTAGACAAAATCGTCCCTAATCCTAACGGTTCTCCATGACTCAGCAACTAAAATGACACGGTGGACTCCATGTCACTATTTATTTTCCATCTGTAATAATAAATAACTAAACCCACTAAAATTAGTCTTCTCCTTCTCTAACAACATACCACCATTGCTGCAAAATTCATGGTTCTTGTCCTGCTCCACAAAATTATTTCATAAATATCCATCATTACCAGTTAGTGTTCGAACCACCACTCCAACCATCTTCCACCAAGAAAATACCCCACCTTCTCTCCACCTAGAAAATCATCAACAATCACTCATCGAAAATACCCACCAAAAAGTTCACTAAAAACCATTTCTTTAAACACTACCAGTCACTCATCAAAAAATTACCTCTCTTTTTTTCCATCTCTCGCTCCTCTTTACCGGTCATAACTGGCCGTAACACTCCTTTTCCACAAAAAGAAGAAGAGTTAGAACCAAAAGAAAGAAATCCTTCATAAAAACCCATTTACCAGTGACCTCCTGTTTGTCTTTAAAATTCCACCCGACGGAAAATTCTTTTTTTGCTAAAAAATTTCTTTACTGCTTGAACATATCAGAACCAGTAAAATCTTGACGGCTTTTTCGCAAACAAAGAAGAATCAATTGGGTGAGAATCGTTTCGGGAATTTTTGATCTGTTTTGGACTGAATAGAACAAAGAATCTGACAATGGAATGTTGAAACTATTCAAAGCTGCAACCTGTTATTTGAATTAGAATTGGTTAAATCTTCGTGCCTTGAATCTGGAAAGTTAGAGAAGGAGAAGACTAATTTTAGTGGGTTTAGTTATTTATTATTACAGATGGAAAATAAATAGTGACATGGAGTCCACCATGTCATTTTAGTTGCTGAGTCATGGACAACCGTTAGGGTTAGGGACGATTTTGTCTACTTTTTTAACGGCAGGCATATATTTGGTCCGAAAGTAGAAACGGGTATAAACGTGACTAAATTTCGATAGTATAGGGACAATTTTGGCCTTTTTCCCTAATTTCTTTGTAATACAATCGACATTTTGTTTACTTTTGAGTTATCAAACTCGACTATCCTTAGTAACTGAACGTTTTGAGTACAATGCTCAAGTTTTTGAGCAAGGAACCATTTTATTGTAATTGTCAAAAATCACACTCGCTGTTGGATTATGTTGATGATCTTGTATTAATCATCTGCGCTTCTTTCATGTGCCTCATACCACAATGCCAACCAAATTTATTTCGTACTAATGATACTGAGTAATTGATGTTTTTTGAATTGAGCTTCTACGGAGAGGGGTTAGAGGGCAAGAATAATTGAGGAAATTTGAAACTCATTTCATTGTGTAATGCAATGATCATTTTTCATGTCAAAAGATACAAGAAATGAGTTGCATCAGTAAATTGAGACCTAAAAACAGCAGTAACCACAAGTGCATGTCATCGACAAATTTGATCTCCAGTATCGAAATTCACAGCGATGTTTCAAGACATATTTCACATCCTACTTAAAGCTAAATTACAACTAAATGATTAAAATTCTTATAAGCTCTCATGAAAGCAGTGAGACAAGAGAAACAAACTCCAAAGTCACCCGTCCCTTGGACCGCGTATTGATGACAAAATGCTCCGGGTATTTTCTTAAAAGCATCAGCAATCCATACCATGGCTTTGATTTGGCTTCAGGGCTAGGATAATCCTCAGATGTTAAGTATCTCCTCACACGACTATGATGCCAGGTATTGCCATAGTGTTCCACCAACTGCAAAAGCATAAGCTTGTCATCAGCCAAAAATCCAACTCTAACAACTTAAAAGATCTACGCTGTCTAACAAAAAGCTGAGCAGGAGCAAAAATATCCCACAACTACCATGAACATGAAGCAGAAAATGATATTTGATACATGATGGGAAGACAAAATATAATACTCTATGGGATCTGTTTAGAGAGAAGACAATGCAATCAAATTGTCAACAAAGTAGAACAGTAACTTCACCCATAGTTAAGCAAAACCTCGTCAAGGTTATAAGGAATGAGGGAAGGCATACAACTATAAATCTGCTCTTTTCTTTCCAAATAAAAAGCTGTAACAGAAGTTCACCACTGCATGCCTAACACACAAAGTAACCATAACATTATTAATCGTCAGAGACTCTTGACTAGGTATGAGATCTTCATATGTGTTTAATCAAAGCCCAATTAGGTAAATGGCTTTAACGGCTTAATAATCAAGTAGGAAATATGGAGTAAGGTCAATATATGAAGACTTGGTGTGGAGTTCTATCAATGGTGGTCGGTTCAGGAGAATGGTCTTGATGATTGCACCATGTACAGGGGAATCAGAAAAGGTTTCAACATTTTTGCAAATATTGCTACTTTAGAAAGGGAAGGGATTCACGGGAAACAGAATCTACTTTTGACCGTGATAATGGCCTTTGAGATTGAGCTTCCTGCTAATATAATTTTGATGGATAAAGATGTGACTTGTGAGTGGGAAAACATCATTTTCAACCCTATTTGTAGAAAGGGCTTGCAGGTTGAGGAGGTGGTACCTATGCTGAATCTCTTCAATCCTCATTCCTAAGAATCTCCTCAACCTTAATCTTGGGGGAAATGATGTGTTAAGCTGGTTATGGACTGCTGACATGTTTTTGGTCATGCTGTACAATAACCAGCTGGTTAAGAATACCGAGGTGACAGAATTTCCATGGAACATCATCTAAGAGCTATATTCTAAGTAGACAATTTTCCATAGGAAGCTGTCTTGGAAGCCTGCTATATGCTAAATAGACTGTGTTTCATAGGAAGCTGTCCTGGATGCCCCTCTTATGGGGGACAGGTCGCAAAGTCACCCTCATTAACTGCTGTACCTTGTGTCGAAAATGCATCAGAACTGCATCGGTTTGCCAGTCCCTTGTGTCTATGGTGGGTAGGGTCCAATGGACCATGCCCCACTACATAAGAGTTGCTTGGAAAAGGCTATGCTTGCACGGAGACTTCAAAATCCCTGTCGCACCAATGTTGACACAACATGGGTGTGGGTGTGGGATGCACACCCGATCTGGTCAACCTACCTTGGGTGCTTTGACTACATCTATGACCGTGAAGTATATGATTGATTTGGTATGTAGTTTGATATTTGGGTTTATGCCATACATATATATAGTTATATAAAGTATGAGAGTGCTTTGCTATTACACAAGATATCTTATGAATAAAATATTACGTGTTTATATCGAATTAAAGTTTATTAGTTTTAGTTCAATAGCTTTAATTAATCGAGATATATACCTTATATGACGTAATATGCATTTATTGGCCGTTGCCCCGCACCCTTATCCGCACTCGGATCCATACTCTCGAATCCTAAATTTATGTGATGAAGAATCCGACCTATAAATCCGCACCCCTATCGAATATGATGTCATTACATCCATTAGAGGCGGAAGAGTTCCACCTCTTGACAGAATCAAAGTGCAAACAAACAATATAGTCTTCACTTAATAACAAATTGGCATTTCTGTGACAAAAGATGTATAATATTGAAGTTACCTCAGTATGAAGCTTCTCCATTGGCATCCATTCTCCCGGACCACAGAGGTCCGAAAGCACATTTGCCACAGATGATACAACATCCTTTTCTTCTAACTGCATGAGCTGTTGATTGTCAGCATCTCGGTCAACACGTGATCTTCCCTCAATCTTCTTATCTGCAAGAAGTTTTCGGCCAAACAAGTTCCATATTCAGATACTAAGTTCCATTTA